ATTGATACACAAGCGTGCGTCCTTCCACAATTGACTAGACTTCTTCCTACCTTCACTATTGAAAAACCCGATTAGAATCAATTCGCCATGTTGGACTTGGCAGACCCCAACTGTTTCCAACAAGCCCAAATCGAAATGATTATCGGAAGTGGTCTGATCCCTTAGATCATGCTGAATGGCATACATCGAAATATATGTGGAAGCATGCTCGCGCAAAATACCATATTTGGATGGATCATAAGTGGCCCCATCACTTGTGAAGTGTCAGTATTCTCGACGCAAGTGGAAGAATTTTCAAACGAAATCCTTAGTACCCAACTAAGACAGTTCTGGGAGCAAAAAGAATTGTACCAACCTGCACCAACATCAGAAGAGGATCTAGCATGCGACGACTACTTCAAAAAGACCACATACCGTGGGCCAGCCGTTAGATATGTTGTGAGACTCCCCTTTAAATAAAGTTTCCCAAACTTGCATGCATCAGGTCAATCCCGTAGCTACGCCTACAGCCAGTTGAACAGCATGGAGAAAAATTGTCGAAAAGACAATTTCAAAGCCATTTACGACGAGGTCTTAGAAGAATATCTCACGATGAATCACGTGGAACTAACAAGCTCGCCAGAAATCGCCTCCGATAGCAAATATTTATCCTCTTATTTGCCACATCATGCAATAGTCAGTAATGTCCCTGATATCAATTTGTATATAATGGAGATATGGAGAAGATATACTGACAAATCCGTGTTCATCAAGATGACCAAGAGTTCCAGCGAATTCTCTTTCGCAGACCGCATAACTCAAAAGTTCAAGACTTTAGGCTGAAAACGGTTACATTCGGAGTAAACTGCGCTCCATTTCTAGCCATTAGAACCATTCAAAAATGGGCTAAGGATTCACGCAACAGGTTCCCACTCGCTGAACAAGTGCTTCTGCGAGACACATATGTAGACGATATTTTATCAGGCAGCCATACAATTCCAGATGCTGTGAATAAATTATCAGAAGTTATAAAGACACTCGATAGTGCCGGCTTCCCACTCCGCAAGATAACGGCCAACAACCCAAAGATTTTGGAAAAAATCCCGAAGTCAGATCTCCTTTACTCCGACTTTCTAAAATTTGAGAGTCCCAGTAGTACAAAAACACTAGGTATGAGATAGAACGCTCTTTCGGGTACCTTTTCCTACTCAGTTGCTCCCATTAGTGCCACAAAGACTGCCACGAAGCGGCAAATCTCATCAACAATCGCAAAACTCTTTGACCCGGCAGAATGCCTCTCGTCCATTATGACTCAAGCCAAATTTCTTCTTCAATTTGTATAGCTAGAAGGTACGGATTGGGATGAAGGCGTCAAGCCAGGATCACTAGTGAAATGGAATCAAATTTTAGAGAATTTACCTCATACCTCGACCATCGAAATACCTCGATTGGTAAAGTTTTCACCCATACATTGACTCCGGCTTCACGGACACTTCAGAAAAGGCATACTGCGCTGCTCTCTACCTGCACATAGCGGATCTTGACGGAACAGTTGCCTGCCACCTCTTAGCAGCAAAAGGAAAAGTGGCACCTCTGCGAACCGTTAGTATCCCGCGGTTGGAACTCTGTGGCTTGCTCGCCCAGTTGGTCAAGTCCATACGAGAAAACCTTGACCTCTATTTAGAGAATAAGTTCCTTTGGTCGGACTCCCAAATTGTACTTGCGTGGTTAGAAAAACCGCCT